ATGAGTATGCTTGGAATAAAAATGGCCTTTGGTTATGCTTGTGACAGTTTAGCCAAAATGTGCCAGAACTGACCAGCACTATCATTACCATTAGGAATGCTCCTTGTAATATGGATGTGACTAAGGCTGGCAATGGAGCATTCATCTTGTCTATCTTCCTAAAAGTGTCATGTGAAAGCCTTAATTGACCAAAGACATGATAGGTGGTGGAAGTCAATATCTGTGGGCCCACCTGGTGATGACAATGGCATAAGAAAAGTTTTAACTTGGAATGTCAGGTGAGTAAATAGATCAGAATCTTGAATTCATGAATGAAACAGGGAGTGGGGAAAGAAAAGAGATAAATTGTGTGATTGTGAAACTGAGAGAGAGAGGAAGGTTATAAGAAATTTAAATGAAGATGGTCTATTCCTGTTAGATGGAGTCGAATACATACAGTACATATGCATGCGTAATTATGAATGAATTAATTATGAAAGGAATAAAATCTGTCTAAAAGTATGAATTATACCATCTAAGTTGTTCTGAGTGTATATGAAACAGGAAATCCATTGTTTGGTTACAGGCGTCTGTTACACTCCAGTAAATAGAGAAAACAGTAAAATAAAGATAGTTTTGGGACATTCTAAATTAATGTGATCCAGAAGAAAATGTATTATACTAGTCAACAGGAATGGATGGGAATGAGATGAGACGATACAGAAAAAGTTATTGGGAGATGTAATAGTGAATCAATATTGTGATTGTTTGTTGAATATCTGCTTAGAAAGAGCTTTCATCACTGTGAAGATTTGGAAGTCTTACTTTTCAATTCTTGTTGGGAAAGAACTCCAAAGCACCCTCATGTAAGCTCCTTTTGGACTACAGCTATGATGCCCCAGATGACTACCAGGATGAAAGAAACCCAGAATTCTAGATGATAAAGAAAATTTTCGTGATGCACTGAGGTACAAAATCCTCAGAGGAAATCTGCAACTTATTATGTTTTGTTTGAAACAAATCAGCCTCCACTTCATTAATTTCATATTAATTTACAGTAAAATATATGTTGTGAAATGATTGCAATCCAATATGTGAGTGACAAATATTAAGTTATTTTAATCCACAATATATAATTTTACACACATTGTTCTGTTAAATACCACTACTGAATGCAATTGGATTTACAATCATGTTTTGTTACTGGAGTAGGTAACATAGAAGCTATTGCAAAAGACCAGAAGCCTACATTTCTGACCATCTGTTCATCATTGCATATTAAGTAAATAATAATAAATATTATGTTAAGGATATCATTTACAAAAATAGTAATTTTAGCGTGTTTGGTCTTGGACCATAAATAAAATTTGATTGATTGATACTAATTTTAGCAATCAGGAGAATAAAATGAAATCTTGTTCTTGTCCAGATTCAGCAAACCTGTAAACTTCTAAAGTTGGTGAACCCACATTCCATGGATTATCACACCTATAATTTTCATTGAAATTATCTAGAAATATTTTATCAATAAATTCTAGCTATCTAGAAATATTTCATTAGGCTGACTACTGGAACCCAACAACATACTTTTTCATACAATCCCCACATCCACCAAGAGTGGGAAGGGATAACATACAAACCATATTACTATCACTAAAGAGTATCTAAATGTTATTCAAATAAGTTATTATCAACAAGTTATCATGCTATTATCCTTAGTGGAGTGTAGATAGTTAATGTGGAAGCTTCCTGTATTGCAGAATGTGTTTGGAAAGACAAATTAAACAAGACTGTAAACTGTGCATATAAATATTGTCCCATTCCCATGTGCTCAGTATGAATTATTTTCTCATGTCCAACTGTGTGAACAGGTGTTCAATCCATGAAAACTGTGAATGGATGCCTTGTGTACACCATTCAGCAAGCTGAACATAATCTCTTATTCAAGGAACAAAAGGGGGAAAATATTGCAGGTAAAATAATAACCCCTGAGACATATCTGAAAATCTGTTTGCTCTTGCATCCAAAAGTCAATCCAACCTCAACCACCCTGCTTCGTTATTTAGATTTATTACAGAAATATTTTATAAATATTTAGAACAATCAATTCAGATAAATATGCAAGACATGACATTTTGGAACCCTGGGGAAGAAAAAGAATTTCATTAATTTACTCACTAAAGATAAGAAAATCATAGTTGTTTGCACTGGAAAAACTGACAGTACTGATAAAAAGTACCCTCTTGCCATTTGATTATGTGCCATCAAGGTGTTGTTGATTCATATCAAAAATAAGTACACATGGATAGATAAAGTACACAGTTCCAGTTAGGACATGGACATAAGCTAATTGCAAAACTAAAGGAGTTGGCTACAGAATCCCTGTTCCTCCCTTGCCTTTGTTAATAAGGTACTCTTGTATGGCCTAAGGAATCTCAGGATCTTTCCTGCTATTAACAGCAGTATTAAAGCTCTATTCTTTAGAGGATCACAGGAAAAAAGGCTGCCCCTCTCCTAGCCACTTCCAAGCATATTGCTTCCCTAATCCAAACAGGGTGTTTTAAACACTGTACTATGAATGTTAATAATGTAAACGTACATCAAAATCAGAGATAAATAAATTTCCTGCATTTATAATTACTCCTGGACTTGCACTCTATTCTACCATCTTAATTTTATATAGCAATTTTCTGAAACTAATTCTGGAACAGCACATACAGTTTGCTTATATTTCCAGTGCATTCAGGGTTTTTAATGGTTTTTGTGCATTAATTTTTTTAAAAAAATAATCTTTAAATTATATTTTTAATTAAGCAACTATAAGAGGTCATGTGCAACATATTACCTTTTTTTTTTGTTGGCATGTTGTTATATGCACCATTGTATCAATATTCATTTTAGTCAATTAAAAGATCATAAGTTATAACTTATCATATGAGGCCAAATACTAAAATATATTGTTCATTAATGCATGCAAGGATATTATTTTTCAACAATATGACCTAAATGAAGCATAAGCACAAGGAAAGGGGATATAAATGTTTATGTTCTTTCTTCAATAAGAAATAAAATACTGGCTCTATTGATTTTCACTCTGATATGCTTTGGTCTTTAAGTTTTAATCAGGTACCTAAAAACCATGCTCAGAACTGTCTGTGAACTTATTATTAAGATTACTTTGTATATCTTATATTGTTTTTATGCATACTATATTATAGTACCTAGTATATATTGTTTTAACATACAGGTAGTCTTCAACTTACGACCACAATTGAGACTACTTCTGTTGCTAAGCGATGAAGTTGTTAAGTATGTCATGCCCGAATTTACAATCTTTATTGCTGCAGTCATTAAGCAAATCCAGCTTCCCCCATTGACTTTGCTTGTTGGAAGCCCCCTGGGAAGGTCACAAATGGCAATCATGGGACCCCAGGACACTGCAACCATTGTAGATAAATGCCGGTTGCCAAGTGCTTAAATTTTGATCCTGTAACCATGGGGATGCTGCAATGGTCGTAAGTGCAAGGACCAATCATAACCTTTTTCATGCTGTTGTAACTTTAAACAGTCATTAAATGAATGGTTGTAAGTCAAGGACTACCTGTATAAGCTACTTAGACTATTCTATTGAGAGCTGTAAATAATGAAAGGAAAAAAAGAAAGGAAATGGGGGGAAAAAAACTAGTGCTTATCTAGTTTTCATTACAAATCTACTTCAGTAGTATTGCAGTAGTATTGCAGTAGTAAGACATTCATGATACAATTTTAAATTGTAAATAAATTTAAATAAATCTCTTCAGTTTTTTTCTGCTATATGAACATCTTAAGATTTGTTTTTCCATGTGCTTCCAACAAACAAAACATAATATTTGAAGGAAAACTTGAACTTTTTGAAAAGCCACACATGGATTAAATCATATTTAACTTTGCGATTAATATTAATCAGATATTAAGAACCGAAAAGAAAGGAACTTTAAATCTGTGCTTTCAAAGTAAAAAGGCTGGTTGTGTTCCATGATAAGGAAATGGAGGTAAAAGGAGTGGCATAAAAAGCAGAAACATTAGTCCACAACTTTTTTTAAAAAATGCAATCTGATGGCAAGATGCAGAAGCCACGGGAAGGTCTGAAATTCTGTACTCCTAGAAGAAAACCTTTGGAATGGTGTGCTACCTGTTATAAAAGATAGCCTTGCTTTAGCAGAGGCTTATTGCTCATTAGCAAGACCAATTTAATAAAGGACTCAGTGTCATTGTCCTTGTTGAATTATCAGATTTGTCTAAAAATTCATGTTTTATGGCTGGCTTTTCAAATACACATCCTTAAAACTAGCAAGACACATAGACAGCAAAATTTTCACACATGAAAAGCTAACAAATTTATCAGAATGGGTGTTATCAAACAAGTTTTGACATGCTAGGTTATTCAATCAAGAATGTAATGTTATTAGTCCTAGAACTCTAGCTTCACGGATCCAAGTGGCCACTAACATCATTACTTTTTGCTCTTAAATTAATTGATAATTGTTCCTACAGATAATCAGTTGCCAATGTTACATTTTATAATTCCACATTTAAATAAATACACAAGAGATAAATTGTTGCCTTTCAATCCAAGTTAGGATGAGGACTAAGATGCAAAGTATAATTAACACCTTTCTTAAATAGCCTCAATTAAACACCTGTCTCCCAATTATATACTGTAGGGAAGGCAGATGTTTATCTAATTAACACTTCAGCTCTTAGCTGAAGAAATACGCTAGATGTGTGTGTCATAATAATTTAACTACTATGTTCATAAAAATACATTCAGTTTATAGGCTACTGATACATTTCAAATATGCTCACATTTCAATAGCATTTCATCTCCATTCTGTATTAAGTACTTGCAAAAACTACCTGTTTCACATAAATATTGACTTCAGTGGAGTTATACTTTCGAAGTGTATGACTTTCAGGTTTAGCTATTACTCCATAATTCCCTGCACTACTAAGGAAAGAAAATCAGTCTGAACATAGCTTACCGAGTGGGTTACCGGAATTCTCTCAATCGCTGATACAAAAACAGATAATTCCTTTTTCTTCTTATGTGATTCTTCTACAGTTTCTTTGACCTGAAATTTGAATACATGACAGTACTTTGAAGTCCAGATTTGCCTTTATAATCCAGTGTAGCATTTATTGTTTATCAAATAATTGGTAGATTTTATTATGCATTCATTTGCATAAATATTGTACTGTTTAGTAAAATCTATAAAATCCCAGTACGGATCAATTTTGTCAATAAAACAACAATGTGTATTGTTGTGCCACAACACTAGCATATTATATATAGGAGGATCTGCAAAGATATCTGTGAGGTCCTCTCCCATCTTCAAGATATATGTTCCCTACAGTGATCCTCCCATTCATTTCCATCTACCAAGAAGTGCAAGTTACTTCTGATTTAAGTTACATTTGGCTGAATGAAAGGAAAGATTTCCAAATAAAACTAAAAATGCTTAATATTCAGCTGTATCCTATCATAAGACAATATAAAAGCTATACATATAATACAGTATATAAAAAGGAATACAGGTAATATCATTTCTGGTAATTATATAAAAAAAATTATGTGATATTTTGCTTGCTTGAGGAATATTTATGTAACCAGAGTGAAATAAAAAAAATTTTTTTTAAAAAAACTTATGTCAAAAATAGGAATGCTGGAAACTTTTACTTAAGCGTGTTGCTATACGTGAAACTTTTAATCTGCTTTGGATAATTTTTAAGGACTAGCTAACAATATTTTATGTCTTTTGCTCCAATCTTCACAGTACTTCCTAGTCTCTTCTCATTTCTGCTATTGAGAGACCCATCCCTAAATATATCTATAATATGATGTTAGCTCTTCAGCTTGATTAGGATCAAAGGGGAAAATATTTGCATCTGAAGTATGCTGAAGAAAATTGTCCCTACAACTAATATATTTGGTAATATGTATTCATTTCTTCTTCCACATGATTATAATTGTTAAATTAAGCTGTCAGGGAATGTTAATGGACACCTAGGTAATCATCTTTAATATGTTTGATAATATGGGCCTTGTGTATGTGAAAGATAGAGTTTCTATGCTAATTAATGGATATCACTTGAGAAAGGCAAACTATTCCATCCATAAACATACTTTGGGGGGGGGTATGACTATCAAGGGTTAACAAGTTAGGAATTTTCAAATTACTAGATACTGCCTTCTATGTATGCACAAATTAATTAATTTATATATGTACTGTCTGGTAACAAAGTATCTTTGTTAAATTTAAAAAAATAGAAAGGAACAGCAAAATGGGTTGACTGCAGAGTAGAACAGGTTCACTGCAGCATAAGGTTTTATAGACAATAGCTCTGCTTATTTTTAAAGTATAACACAATTATTTATTTAGCTTTTCATATAAATCTATTAACAAGTAATAAACATTCCTATCTTCATTGTAAAAGCTGCTCAAAAACTTCACGGTAAGTTATGTTGAATTCAGTGGGGATTAACTACAAGTGCATTCACACCGGCCTTTAAAAATTTGTGATGGAGAGAGAGAGGAAGGGTAAGGGGGAGAGAGAAAGAAGTGGCTGAAAACAATTAGCTGGAGAGTAAGATAAACTAATCCTAAATGAAGGGAAAGAGAGGAAAACAATAAATTTGCATATCTGCTTATGCAGGACTCTCAGAAGACCTATTTATCACCCCATATAAGATGCAGCTGATTCTTTGTAGAGGAACATGAACAAAGCCCATATTGGACCACATCAGTGGCCTAAACTCCATAATTCTTATTAGAAATTAGAAAACTAAGAAGGCAATAGTATCTGGCATTCACGTGTATAAAGATTTTAAATGTAGGACTTTCATATTCCCATCCTAGTTAAGTAGCATTTGATCTACCAATTCTCCTTGCCATAATTTAGAACAGTGACAGACATGTGAACAAAACCAAAAATTACCTGATAATCAGCAGGTCCAGGTGTAGTAAAAGCTTCCCTATTAACTAAATATAACAGTCGAGGAACTGAAGAGCCAAATGCTCCTTTCTTTTTTCTCTCTGTGAGAACCTTTTTAAGATTGGGTGTTGCAATTCTGTAATTGAGGATATTATAATATGCAGGACCTGCAAGTGCACAATGAAATTTTAGTTGAACGAAGCAGCTTCATTTAAATTGGAATTTTATGCAAAATAAAATGATATACATACAGATTTACCATCATTCTGATCCCTACAAACATAATTCAATTTCAGTCAATTAAGCTTAAACCAACTAGAATTAAGAGTAACTAACTGTGAATAGGAATAAAGTTTTGGGAGCTGAGAAATGATCTGCAGCCTTAGGTATGTATGTATTTATTTATATTTAAATGGCTACCTATCTTACAAATGCGACTCTGGGCAGTTGACAAAGATATAGCTAATACCATTCCACTAAAGTTTATGACATGGAGTTTCCTTATTTGAACACAGACAGGTTTCTTCTTTTTTATAGTTTCAGTCACTATAGAGTTCCATAATTGTATAATTCATAGATTTGTTCCTTTTGAAACCCTATCAAATATAATAATTCCACCCTTTTATTTTTCTTAAGTAAATATACTTCAAATTAATAACATATATGCTGATAAATAAAGGGTTTTTTTGTCTGAATATTAGCCAAGTAAACATTAATGAAGATTAACAAATTATGTTTAAGTTTTATAATAATTTAACTTATAATTTAAAGCAATTTTAGGATGCGCCACCTATTTCAAATAAAAATAATGTTCATTTGAATATGGATTAGGAGCCCATTCTACATAGATTGCTCTGAACCACAGAACCCTATTAATGAAGAATTTTATATTAATTTCAGTATTAAAAGGGAATCAATTACAAAAAACCCAATCAAAATATTAATTCTAGGCACAACGTTAAATGGAAAAAGAATGGATTAAAGTACTTTCTCATCTTATGCTTTACTACTATGGCAGGAAAAGGCATATACTGTTACAAAATAGCAGAAGCTAAACAGATTTGGATCTGATAATATGTGCTTGGGAAGCCATCTGAAGAGTCCTTGAACACCATCTTTGCTTCAATAGATGAAAGAAAAACTATAAATCAAAATATAAAAATACTGATGCAGAAACTCTGTAACTACTTGGGACCAGTAATACACAACTCCATCAGGCAGGAAATTCCTTATTTAAGTTCCTCCAAAGTTGCAATAAATGTGTTCAGCCAAAAAAAAAAAAAGGCTTATGTTAGCGGACAAAAGCAAAGGTATGTACTTGAGGACACAGTACAAGGAGAGCAGCAACAGAAAAAAACTGTAGAAGGGACAATATATCAGAAGCTGTTTTCAAGGTAAGTAGCTGAAGGAAGGTCATTGTGTCCTTTAATGATAAATTTCATTTACATTTGCTTGCAGACAAACATTTCTACAAAGAAAATTTAGTTCAAAAAATAGAATCTGACAGAATTTGGAATCCCTCCAAAATAATGGAAGAATGCTTATTCATAGCATAGATATTTTCCAAATACCTACAGCTAGCCTATTCAGTAGTTGATTACTTATACAAGCCTCACTCAGTGCTTTGTTTTTTTAAAAAAAGACAGCACTCTTGAGAATACCATTAATAGATACTATTTGTCTTAGGAGTGACTGTCATATTATAGGGCTGATGACCTCTACAATCTTAGGATAACTAGCATGATCTGCAACACAAGGATAAATAGCTCTTTCAGACTGTCAACAAGGGTGACCTTGTCAGAGGATGAAAGAGTATAAAGACGTGGCATTGGCAATTGAGTAAGTATGTAAAATAAAGTCGCATGTTTTCAGATAGCCTAGAATATTTTCACACTTGGATAACCATAAGTTATTTACTTTTAAAATGCTAGGGCCAAAAGCCTATACACCTTCATTTAAAAGCAAGTCTTAATCTACTCCATGGGATTTAGCTGCAAATAAACAAATATAGGATTAGGCTGTTTAATTGCCTGTCCATAGTATGTCAAAAACAATGGACAATGCTACAAAGCAGTACTGTAAGTGATTTTATTTTTTATCTTTGGATCAGCTTTGAAAAATTATATATAAATTACTGAATATAAATTATATTAAATTATATTAGCACAGTAATTAGCACAGTTCCACAGTAAATATAAGTAAAATAGTGTGAGCAAATGCTCAAAGATCCCTTTGCATGTCTTGTTTAAGTGAAGCCTTTAATGTAACAATTACTGGACAAAGTAGAGCCTTTGAAGTATGCAATCAAATTTCCTTGGGGGCCTACATCTTTCTGGTGTCTTAAAATTATCTTTAAATCATTCTCTGAGTAAATCATTCTCTGAGTATACTGTATATATAATTCCATACTATATATATAATTCCATTCTATTGAAATTATATATATATAAAATTCCATACTATTGCAGGTTAAAACTGGCAAAAACTGTGTGAAAGGATTTAATATAATTAATTTAATATAGCAAAGCAGCAAACCACAACACCAAGGTTCATAAGGTAATTTCTTAAGTCTATCCAAATTGCACAATTATCAGAGGCAACCGATCTTTCCATTTCAGAAAGCTGAAGTGGCTTCAGTTTAAGTTCCCTGTTTTTACTATTCCTAATCTAATATTTAATTAATTGTTTATATCTTATGTTTGACAAATATTTTTGAGCAGAAAGCCTGAGATAACATCATCTTCTATTTAAAATCATGAATATTCTTATTTCAAACATCTTAATTAATGTATATACTGTTAATGAAGTAGATTTATATAGATAAAATTAAACTTCCAATATTTGGAATATCTTCTTTAGTAACTTTTCTGTCACTTTTGCAAGGTCTGCTTTCTAAGAAATACACAATTTATTAGTTAACTCCCCCCCATTTTATGGTGTTCCTAGTTTTGAGTTCCACACATACAGAATCACCAAATACTAGAGTGAAAGTTTAAGAAAGGAATGAGCATTGCTTCTGATCGGATTAGCTCCTTTTTCCTAGAATCCTTTTCACTTTATTAACATGTATGATCAGATTTTTTTTTCTTGGACATTTTCTATATTTGATTGACCAATATACTCATCCACACTGAATTGTTCAGATGGTTTTTCCTCTGTCACGGTGGAAAATTTAAAGTTAAGTAGTGGTACTCATCTTGTAGGGAAGAATGTTATATATTCTCAATTTTCCTCACTAGGAGATATTCAGAATATAGTTTTCTTTGATTGAAAGAGCATTAAAGAGTTTTATAATACCATTTTACAGATATAAAAAGAGAACACAGCTGAAGCAAGCAAATTCCTATAGCAAAGAATACAACTTCCAATTTTGCTTTACAAGAAATAAAATGTTGAAAGAAGCAGATGGAGGTTAATGACCAAAATCTGACCCTTGAGAAGGAGTAACAAGCAAGCTAAAAAAATTAAAAATTCAACTTTGAAATCAGAAAAGGACTGAATGGCAAGAAAGTTAACTGCCATTCAGGAAGTTTGACCTAGCAGCCTAATGGTCAATGAAAGGACAGGTAAGGTGATGTACGACAGAAGGCGGCTGACAAAGGATAAAAGAGAAAGCTGGATAAATGACCTCCACTTGTGGGACACTGCCATCAACATCTGGTGAGTGCTCCTGTCTTCCCTAACCCCTGTGGATCACTTGGCCAGTTTTGTAGCAAAACAAGTATGAGTACATGTTTATAAAATGCTTAAGCAATTGCAACTAATAAAGGTTAACCAAGACTTTCTGTGTGCTTTGTGCTCCTTGAACATTTCATTACTGCATAAAGGTTTCCTGACCTAGCCCATACTTCAAGATGGGCCAGGTCAGGAAACAGGCATTACAAGGATTTACAAGAATGTTACCTTATTACTGAAAGGGATCAATAGAATCTTGAAAGCCTGTCAGAGTTTCTCTATATACTCTTATACCAAACAGGGCTGAGTTGTCTTTTATTTTCCCTTAATGGCACCTGCATACCTTCATCAAGGTTATCTCCACATTCCTGAATAATAAGATCCTGAACTCCTAGATCTCTGTTGAAAGTGTGTGAGTCTACTTAAAAATGTGTTTATTCTCTAATAAACCAATCCCTATTCCCCACACATCCCTCAACCAAGGCTATGCACCATAAAGCCTCAGCCACACACTATCTAGTCTCTGGTTTAGATAAAATGTAAGGGAGGCAAAAACATGTCTCCAGCAGTGGAATGTCTAAAAGTGAAAATTAATGGACTAAAAGTGGAGATAATGTTATAAAACACTAAATGAAAGCTTGTATGGTTGTTTTTTTTGTTTTTTTTGGTGCCTCTCTAACCCTCCATATTCTGATGAATATAGGAGGCCAGAGGGAAATTGGAGGTAACTGGAGTTCATCAAGATTTTTTGTTGTTATTAAGTCCACAATCACCCCCTATGGTTATTCAAGTCCATTATAATATTTATCCTAAGCCCACCTTTTTACATGACATGCATTTAGAGTAACATACTTCCAGTAAGAACCATGAAGTACTGGGAAGAGAGAAAAAGAAAGAGAGCTATTATTTAATGAGGTAATGATTAAATAAATAATGCCCAAAAGCCAATGCAAAAAATGCTGAAATCAGATTTATGATTATCCAATCAGTCAATTGCAGAAGATATTCCTTATATGCAAGTAGCATTATAAAATAAACAGAATCTGTAAAGCACTGGGTTCCCTATTTTGATCCCTTCCTAATGTCAGCATGAAGAAAAATTGATTAAGCTGCATAACTACTTTGTCACTTTATCTTTTAAGAGTAATTCTATAATGGAAACCAACCTACATTTGGAAGTTCTGATTACTGAAGATGTATGGGATCTTCATTGTCTAAAATTATATTGAACACATTATTATTGTTGTTGTTGTTGTTAACACTGAGCTACTAATTTGATATTCGTCATCTTTTTCAATCCAGAAGGCACAAGACTAGGCTACCCATCTATAATTGACAAGATTCACTTTATGAGATCGGGTATACTATATATATGCACACACATACACATACATACATACATACATACATACAGTATATCAGATCTCATAAAGTGAATATTGTCAGTATATATAGAAAAATCTATTTTTCACTAGTACAGTTCTAGAACAACTACAAACTTCACAGATTATCATACTTTATACTGAATGACATGGATTTCATACATATTCCTTTTCAAAGAAAATTTGGATAATTGATATTTTATCAGTGATGACAAAGCAAACTAGAGGCATCTAGGCAAGGGGGTCCGCTGTTCTATAGAAGCACAGAAGTTTATGAACCAACAGAAACAGTTAAAAAACCAAAACTGCTTTACAAGACTTATGAACTCCAAGTATAGGCAACAAACTGAGGGATAGCTGGGAGAAGGAAAGACATCAGCAGCCCAGACAATCCTACGGGGCTCTTCTTCTGGGCAGTTTAGAAGATGGAGACATATTGATGTACCTGGTGTTTTTTGCAATCTGGAGTCTTGGGTGAATCGAACTGAGGTATGGCCAAATGGGATGCTTTTTGATCCATATGGTCTTCTCAAAGATTCAAGAGCAGAGCGTGTTTCATCATATGTGCCAGGAGCTGGAGCAGAAGTTTTCACAGGTACGAACCTCTAAGAAAATGCAAGAGAACATAAATATATAAATAACAGGTAACTCACTTATATAGTTATTGAAGCAAAGAGAGATCTATTTTGGTATAAGCAAAGCACAGTCAATGGAGAAGCCAGCAGTAAAATTGCAACTCGCGGTCATGTAATGTCTTGCTTAACCACCATGGTAGATTAGCTTAAGGACCATAGTAGAAGTGAGGTCATAAGTTTGTTGCAGTCACATGATGTCTCACTTAACAACCACATCACTTAGCAACAGAGTTGCCAGTCCCAATTGTGGTTGTTATGTGATTGCAGCAGACTGCCTATTTGCAGATAAGGTTAAGCAAGAATTCATCTAAGTAGCCAGGAAAGTTTGCTTCCAGAAGCACCATACAGTATATTTACTACACAGATTCATGTAATATTCTGTAAGGCTTGCACAACCATTTCAACCAGCAGTGCCTAGGAGGCCAGGGGGGACCATAGTGAAAGAAGCAGCATTGCAGCATTGTAATACAAGCCAGTCCTCTTTTCTGTATGCATTGTGACACTGCACACATACCAGAGCTTGGACAGACTTTGCAGTTCAATCTTGCAAAGCCACTTCCACTTTTATCATTCTGATGGAAGCAGCAAGAGCCTGTGGATATTGCTGTTTCAGCCACTCCTAAGCTACAAGGCCAGATGCACAAAGAGACCTATTAAATCTAGATTGATAGAACAATGTGGAATAGACAGTACCACTAACAGATGGATTTGCAGTTGGCTGACCAACCACACTGAGTGTGTGGTCCTTAATGGAACTACATCTATGTGGAGGGAAGTATGCAGTGGGGTACCTCAAGGTTCTATCTTGGGCCCAGTGCTTACAACTTCTTCATGACCTAGATCAGGGGACTGAAGGGGCACTCATCAAATTTGCAGATGACACAAAGCTTGGGGGAATTGCTAACATCTCAGAAGATAGATTCAAGATTCAGGAGGAACTTGACAGACTTGACCACTGGACCCTATCCAACAAGATGCAGTTCAGTTGAGAAAAGTAAGATCCTGCACTTAGGCAGGAAAAACCAGATGCACAGGTACAGCATTTGTCGCACTCTTGGATGATCTCTGGTGGGACCAGGATGGAGGTAGTGCATGCATCCTTGCTCTTCTTGACCTCTCAGTGGCTTTCAATACCATTAACCATCATATCCTTTTGGGGCGGCTTGGGGAGTTGGGGGGGCGGCACACTTTTGCACTGGTTCACCTCCTTCCTTTAAGGCCAGTCCCAATCAGTATTGATAGGGAGTGAGAGGTCCATCCTGTGGCCCCTCCTTTGTGAGGTGCTGCAGGGTTCAGTACTCTCTCCACTCCTTTTGAACATCTACATGAAACCACTGAGTGAGATCATCTGCCACCATGGGATGAGGTATCATCAATATGCAGATGATACCGAATTACAACATCTCCATCCCGGGTGATTTGAGTGATGCTGTGACCACCCTTTTGAGGTGCCTGGAGGCTGTGAGGGTCTGGATGGGAAACAAAAGGCTTCTGCTGAACCCTGGTAAGACAGCACGGCTGTGGTTTGGGTGCTCCTCTGTATCCAGGAATTTACCATCTTTGGATCTGGATAGGGTGGCACTGCCCTGGACAGACCTGGTACAGAATCTCGGGCTCCTCCTAGACTCACAACTCCAGCTTGAGGAGCAGGTGGCAGTCATGGCCAGAAGGGCCTTTGCTCAACTTTGTGTTGTGTACCAATTACACCCTTTCCTGGATCAGGAGGCCCCCCAGTCAGTCACTCATGCCTTAGTCATCTCCCATACAGACCACTGCAATGCGCTATACATGGGGCTACCCTTGAAGAGTATCCAGAAGCTACAGCTGGTGCAAAATGCGGCCACACGGGCAGTTCTGGGTGCCCCTAGGATGGCACATGCAACACCTTTGCTGCGGGAGCTGCATTAGGTGCCAGTTTGCTTCGGGTCCAATCAAGGTGTTAGTTATCACCTTTAATGCCCTACATGGCATGGGACTAGGCTACCTGAGGGACTGTCTCATCCCCATTATGTCAACCCATCCCACCCGGTCAGGCAGAGAAGGTATGTTACGGACCCCATCTATGAAAAAATGTTGACTGGCAGGTCTACAAGGAGAGCCTTCTCTGCCATTGCCTCCACCCTATGGAACACTCTTTCCCCAGAGGTGAGGTGAGCCCCCAGTCTCCCAGACTTCCAGAAAGGGGTGAAGACCTGGCTCTGCCAACTTGCATGGGGCGTGAAGAGGGGTAACTAACTCTGAAAATGACTGGCACCTTGAAGACGCTCCCACAGGTTAACAACCATCATTTAGCATCAATTACCTTGGAAGATGTTATTTATTAATTCAACATTGGTTTATTGTATTTTAATCACTATTTTAACCAGTATTTATTTTTGTTTTTACTGTAAATCTCCCAGAGTCGCTCATTAAGTCAGATGGGCAGTGACTAAATTTGAAATATAAAATAAAGAAAAAATAGGCAGTTCCTGGCTCAACAGTAGTGCCTATGAGAGAGATCTAGGTCTCCTGGTGGACCACCACTTAAGTATGAGTCAGGAGTGCGCTGCAGCTAGAAGAAAGCCAACACAGTCCTGGGCTGCATCAACAGAGGAATAGTATCAAGATCAAGGGAAGTGTTAGTACTGCTCTACACTGCACTGGTGAGGCCACACTTGGAATCCTGCATCCAGTTCTGGTCACCACCATACAAAAAAGATGCTGAGGCATCTTGTAGCCGGTCTTCAGGAGAGAGGAGGCAAAGGAGAAGAGATTTCAACTTGTGTTTCTATTGTGGAGCCCCAGGGCATGTGGTGAGAGCTTGTCCGGCAAGAAGTGTACTGGCGGGGGCCAAACACATGCAGCAGGCACCCACCAAGAGAGCAGTTTCAGTTCCAGTGCAGCAGCAGGGAAACTGGCAGAGCCCCCCTCCTCAGAGCTTGCAGGGGGGAGCATCAAGCAATTAAGGAGACCTCACTCCGGAGACAGCAGCCAGGCTTTCATGCTAGTGCCTCTCACAGTGACATTGCCTTCTGGCTCCAAGATTGAGTTGGAGGCTCTCATAGATTCAGGCACTACCACAAGTTTCATAGATGTTCGAACTGTACAGAAATGGCAATTACCTACAATGGATTTGAAGAAACCCATGGACGTAGAGACTATAGATGCCCAACAATTGAGGGCGGGTCTGGTGGTGCAGTCGACAATCCCTCTGCAGGTGACCATTAACAATCACACTGAGTTATTACCCTTGTATGTTACAGCGTCATTACAGGTGCCGGTGGTCATGGACACTTCGTGGCTTCAGTTACACAATCCTGACATTGACTGGTCAGCAGGGATCCTCTCATTTTCAGCTCCAGATTGTCAGCACCACAAGGTACAGGGAACTATCCTCCCCATTTCTCAAGTAGGCACCAGGCTGGGGGAGGGAGTTTGCCTGCCAAGTATGCAGACTTTGCAGACGTTTTTGGGGAGGAGGAGGCTTCGGCTTTGCCTCCCCATAGAGACTGTGATTGCATGATTGATTTGAAGCCAGGAGCTAAGATTCCAGCCAGGCGGCAATATCCCATGTCTGCAAAAGAGTTAGCTATTCTCAAGGATTACCTAGAGGTAAATTTGAAAAAAGGTTTTATTAGGCCATCAAAGTCTCCAGCCTCAGCCGTCACATTTTTTGTGCCAAAGAAGCCAGACCCGCAGACTTTTGGAACCACTGCTAGCGGGACAATTCTGATGCACACAGTGCATGATTACAAGGAACTGAACAAGATAACCATTAGGGATCATTATCCGCTCCCATCCTGTCTCCTGAGAAATCTATATGCGGGCCAAGAAGCAACAGTTAGACCCGGTCGCGGAACAACCGATTGGTTCAAAAGAGGGAAAGGAGTATGACAAGGCT